TGATAATTTTTATTCTTGATAATTGTTACAAATTGATATATCAGACAGATTAGAGCACAGGATGCTGTCAATTCTAGTGTAACCCAAGGTTAGTCTACGTCAGACCCAAATCGGTTGCCCTCCCCTGTACATTAAGGTAAACATGAGACTAGCTTAGGTAGTCTACGTCAGACCTAAGTCTGTTCCATCCCTTACAGGGTAAGGTCACCAGGAGACCATCGATGACTCCGTCTGTACCCGCTCGTTCTAGATCTGTACCCGCGGCGCAGAATGTACTGGAATTGGCCAGAGCGAGGTAATCAATGCCGAGATAATCAATGCCGAGATAAACAATGCCGAGATAAACAATGCCGTGGTAAACTGCTGTGATAAACAATGCTGTGGTAAACAATGCTGTGATAAACAATGCTGTGGTAAACAATGCCGAGGTAAACAATGCCGTGGTAAACAATGCGGTGATAAACAATGCTGTGATAAACAATGCCGAGGTAAACAATGCTGTGATAAACAATTAATGCCGAGGTAAACAATGCTGTGATAATCAATGCCGAGGTAAACAATGCTGTGATAAACAATGCTGTGGTAAACAATGCTGTGATAAACAATGCTGTGGTAAACAATGCCGTGGTAAACAATGCTGTGATAATCAATGCCGAGATAAACAATGCCGTGGTAAACAATGCTGTGATAATCAATGCCGAGATAAACAATGATGTGATAAACAATTAATGCCGAGGTAAACAATGCAGCGACAAAGCTCTACATCCATGCTCCTGTTATATCTTATAAGTTTATACTGTTATAAGTTGCTATTTCCTGTCGCAGTATCGGCATTGCAATAACCGTGTTAGCTCTGCAATAAAATTAACACTGCTAAACGACGTCCGAAACCATGTTTTATCAGCCGTCCGAAACCCTTTTCTCATCTAAAATTACCGACGCGAAACGTCAGACCGCGTGAAATCGTCACGTTCTTCTGTTCATCTTCGCGTTTCCCCGTGCAGGCTTCACGTTTCCGCCGTCCCGGACACACTGCCGTGCCGCGAGAACGAGTTTGCGAACATCTACAACTTTGTCGAGGGAAAGCTGATTGGCGGAGGCGGAGGGTAGGTAGCGGACTCGCCTTGCCTTGAACGAGATCGGTCGTTCTTCGGTCGTGCTGCGGTATCGACGAGTGACAAGCGAGCATTCGGTCGACCTTCTGTGTCACGGTACCGATCATGCGATGAGGCGGTACTTTCGGTATGGCGTATTGACGAGCGACAAGAGAGCATTCGGTCGTCCTTCGGTATCACCGATCGTACGATTGTGCCGTACTTTCAGTGTGGCATATCGACAAGCGACAAGAGAGCGTTCGCTTCTCGGTGCGAGACTCGAGAGGTTGTGAACTAATCTAAGAGAAGAATCGAGTTATCATTTGAGAGAATATATTGCTATTTATTTGTATTGTGTTGATGCTCATTGCTGATACTATGTGTCCTTTGTCGTGGTTTACTGGTTCTCATAACGGTAGTTGTCATATAAACTCGTGTGATATAGTAACTGTGAGGGTAATTGCTGCTAGAATTGCAATGTCGGTGTGCTGTGTGTGTGTTGTTGTTGATGTGTTATTGTTGTTGTTGTTGTTGTTGTTGTTGTTGTTGTTGTTGTTGTTTATCTGTTGTATTATGTGCTTCTCGGGTGTAATTCTTCCTAGACGTCGTTGTTGTTGTTTACGTCAGGTGTATGTACGTCGCGGGCGTACCAGGCACGGGTAAGACCGCCACGGTGCAGGAGGCGGTGAGAAGCCTGGAGGAGGCGCGCGACAACAACGACCTTCCCCAGTTCTCCTTGCTTACACGTTGTTGATGTTGTTTACACTTCATTATTGTTGTTGTTTACACGTTGTTGTTGTTGTTGTTTACGTCAGGTGTATGTACGTCGCGGGCGTACCAGGCACTGGTAAGACTGCCACGGTGCAGGAGGCGGTGAGAAGCCTGGAGGAGGCGCGCGACAACAACGACCTTCCCCAGTTCTCCTTCGTAGAAATCAACGGAATGAGAATGACGGAGCCGCATCAAGCCTATGTTCACCTGCTCAAGGTGAGAGAGATGCGGCGGTTGCCATGACGACCGCGGTGGTTACCGTGGTGATGACGGGGATGGTAACCCTGTCAAACATGGATGACAAACATGGCGGTTAAGGAAACGACGACGACGATGCTTACTATTAGTGATGACGATGGGTACCGCGGTGATAACAACAATGGTGGTTACCGTGGCGATGCCACGCTCGTTGGCAAAGTATGTCGTAGACTTGATTGGCCGGTGTAGAGACGCGCTTGTGTTTTGCTTCCGCAGGCACTGACTGGACAGAAGGCGACTGCCGAACACGCGGCGGCCATCTTGGACAAGCGCTTTTCGGCGGCTAACAAACGTTCCGTTGTCGTTCTGGTGGATGAGGTAAGCACGTTCACTTGTCGCATCCACGTCAGATTTTGAGCGGATTTGTCGATTCATGTTTGTTAGGCATCAAACGATGCGTTCGGATTATATTCCACAAACTCGCTGGCAAGAACTAAATGAATGAAGGAAATTCAATCCCGTCGTTCTTAAACAACAGTTGCCGCGGTAACGAAGCCTCGCGTGCCACGGCGCATGACAGACGACGGTTGCCATGGCAACGACACCACGCGGCGGACAACGATCACCGTGGTATCATCTGCCGTGGTAATGACGCCGTGTGGCAAACAGTGGTCGCCGCGGTAACGATGCCGACTGCCGCTATAACCGACCCCGGCCGTTGCCGCGGTAACGTCGAGCGATTTTTCTTCCTCAGCTGGACCTTCTGTGGACGCGTAAGCAGGACGTGATGTACAACCTGTTTGATTGGCCGAGCCGCACGCGCGCGCGCCTCATCGTCGTCGCCGTCGCCAACACGATGGACCTGCCCGAACGCATCATGATGAACCGCGTGTCCAGCCGCCTGGTGAGGCGTGGCTAGGGGGCGCTAGCGAGGCAGCGGGTGCTAGCGGGGCAGGGGGCGCTAGCGGGGCAGGGGGCGCTAGCATGCCATATGGAGCGTTAGTGAGCCAGGTGGCACTATAGTGACCGAGCTATATGCTATTGTTATAGTTACTAGCACGATTGTATATAGAAGCATATATGGTTACAACTGTAGCTACAAGATCTTTCTCTGTTTGTTTGAACACAAGAGTTTCTGATTAACAATTAATATGTTGCCGCTCTATTCACGATCAACTGCCATGTTAACCAAGTAAAATGACAAAAATGTGAGGAGGAGAGACCGCCGTTTTTTTACGACCTTTCTTCGTGTGACCTTGGCACGACCTTGCAGGGCTTGACGCGCATGACCTTCCAGCCGTACAGTCACAAGCAGCTGCAGGAGATTGTGATGTCGAGGATGGCCGGGCTGGAGGCGTTCGATCGCGACGCGATACAGCTGGCTGCGCGGAAGGTGCGTGATGTCATCGATAGTCGTGTACACGAAGAAATGGTCGCAGCCGAATCCGCATGAAAAATAACAAAACTAAAAACCATTAGAAATAATTACATATATTATATCCAATAGATCGAATATAGGACTAATTACAAAAAATAAAAATTGCAATATTCGTCTACAGGTGGCAGCAGTGTCTGGAGATGCCAGACGAGCGCTCGACATATGCCGCCGGGCAACGGAGATTGCCGAGACGACGGCGAAGCCAGGTGGCGCCACCGTACTGGTGGGGATGTCTCACGTTGAGGAGGCTCTGCAGGAGATGTTTAGTTCTCCCAGGATCGTCGCAATGAGGTCAATAGAACGTCTCTCTCTCTCTCTTTATCTCTCCCTCTCTCTCCTCGCTCTCTCTCTCGCTCTCTTTCTGTCTCCCTATCTCTCTCTCCCTCTCTCGCTCTTGCTCTGTCTCGCTCTCTTTCCATCTCGCTCTATCTCTCTCCTCACTCTCTTTCTCTCCCTCCCTCTCTCTCACTCTCTCTGTCTGTCTCTTTCTCTCAATGTTTGTTCTCTGCCTATAGTAGTCCTACTCTTCTAACCCTGATTCTAAGCCTAACACTAACACTAACATTAACCCTAACCCTGATTCTAAGCCTAACACTAACACTAACATTAACCCTAACCCAATGTATATATTATTTATGTGAATTCTAATTTCAATCTTCTAATGATCAATTCATCCTACATTCCGCGTGGAATCCGTGCACAATTTTGAACGCAGCGTTGCAACGCCGACCCTCTGAGTTGCCATGTTGGTTGCCGTGGCGACGTGGGCTGGTTCCCTAGAGTTAACATTTACGACCTTGAATCTCCGTTGAAGGTCGATACCGAGCGACTCCAATGCGGACACTAAGCGCGTGCGGGTGGAGAGTAGCGCCCCCTGGCGGGGCATCGAGGAACTGACGCCCAAGGTCGCGAAACCCAACAAGTTCTTCACGTCGCGATCCGAGACGCACGTCGTCACGGCGACCACGCAGCCGCCGCCGGCAATCAGGTGGGAGCAGCTAGCTGTCGCGACCTCATGACCTTTCCCGTGACCTTGTGACCTTCTCTGTGACCCAGCAACCTTTCCCTTGCTGTGACCCAACAACCTTCCCCTGTGACCCTGTGTAGTCATTGCGACCTACCCCCATGGTCTGGGACTTCCACGCTACTCCACGACCCTCCCCTGCGACCCCCTGACCTTGGCCGCGACCCCCGTGACCTTCCCCATGACCCGACCTCTAGAGGTTGCGCAACGGACGTCACGACCCTCTCTCGCCTCTCTCATTCTTGCAGAATTGCGGACGAGGATTCTTCCATCATTGCCGGCAACCAGCCCGTCGTGAAGCTGAAGAGGATGCCACGGCAACAGACGCCACGACAACGGCCGCCGTCATCGAGGGTTCGTATGCCACGCAGGGGCGCCACTGTCAACGGCGCGAGAGTACGCGGGGTATTCGTGACCGCTGCTTGCAATTCAGAACAGCGCCATCTGTAGTTAGATTCAAAAATTAAAAACAGCGCCCTTCGTGACACGAACCAGAATCAAACACGGCGCCCTCTGTAGTGAAAAAGCAGAATGAAAACCAACGCCCTCTAGTGGAAACGAGAATGCAATCACGATTGTTTCATTTCGTCGCAGATAAATGGAAACGACTTGAAGGTGACACTAGGGGGCGGTGGCGTGCACGGCGATGACACCTGTGACCTTGGATACAGGTCGTCGCCGCGGGTCAATGGCGTCTGCATCCGGCGCGTCAACAAGGTGAGTGCATGCGGCTGCTGCCACCTGGTGGCTGTCATTGCATCGTAACCACGGCGACGTCGCTTCTGTCATGCAGTGTTTCGCATCTTTGCATTTGCTAAGAAATGTAATATAGAATAGATATATTATATTTATATATATATGAAAAAATAAATTTTTTATTTATATATATATGTATACTAAAATTTTTATTATATATATATATATATACATATGTATTCTAAATATAGACGCGTAGAGGCTGTCCAGGCCTCTTCTTCAATACATGTCGCCTGTATTCTAAATATATATATATATCTACTATAATATATGTGCTGTAATGTATGACACTGATGTTTTCGGCGCACGAATGTGTCACGAAATTTTTCGCCGGTGAAATGCATCGCAACACCGTCACCGTGGCAACACATCGTGACTGTTGCCGTGACATTTCAGGATGCGGGCGTCCGCGTGGAGGATGCGGAGGATGGGACCTCGTCACCGGCGGGTTACCGGGCGTCGCCGCGCGCCAAACGGCGGTCGTTATCCGACGGATACCGAAGGTAACGTGGCGCCATCTGTGGAGGGTCCGTTCGCTCGCGACCGCGACGATGTCGGATGCTCATTTGTCACATGTGATCGAACACAAACAATGCAACTGTAGTACCGCTGTGTTCATTTTGGGCTCGCTCAAAACTGTCTTGCTAGTCAATGCGAAACAGATCTTAAGGTGAGAGAGAGAGAGAAAGAAAGAGGGAAAGAAAGAGCGAGAGAGAGCGATAGAGAGAGACAGCGAGCGTAATTGGTGACACACTCATTGAGATCGGACGCTCTTTTGTTGCAGACGTTGGCACAGAACACACGTGAGACGTGCACCCTGCGTTGTCGTAGCAACCGCAAGATGGCCGACGATGCCGAGGTCGAGCAGAGGTCGCGGGTCAGTCGGACGGCGACCGTGAAAGGGCAGGAGCCGCGGAGGAAAGAAGAGAAGGAGGATGAGGAGACGGATGAGGACGAGGAGGAGGAGGAGGAGGAGGAGGAAGAGGAGGAGGAGGAGGAAGAGGAGGCAGATGTATCCGGTCCAATACTCTCACGTCGATCCGTCGTTTCGTCTTCTCCCAGTAGAGGTCAGCACCATTGTTTGTCATAGCGCTGCACACTTGCTCTCTCTTTTTTTCTCTTTTTCTCATTGTGCCTATGACTTTTTCTCTCTCTCTCTCAATCTCTCTCTATATTTCTCTCTTTCTCTCTCCATCTCTCTCTCTATCTGTCTCCATCTCTCGCACCCGGCAGTTAGATGCGATATGATATGACTACTAGGCACTTAGGATATGACTACTAGGCACTTAAAAAAAACAACCTTAACCCTAACCCTAACCCTAACGCTAACCCTAACCCTAACCCTAAAAAATAAAAAAAACCCTATTAAATTAAAGTGCCTAGTAGTCATATCATATCGCATCTTTCTGCTGTTCTGCCCATCTCTCTCTCTCTCTCTCTCTTCTCTCTCTCTCTCTCTCTCTCTCTCTCTCTCTCCTCTCTCTCTCTCTCTCTCTCCTCTCTCTCTCTCTCTCTCTCTCGTCCTGTCTCTGTCTCTGTCTCTGTCTCTGTCTCTGTCTCTGTCTCTGTCCTGTCGTCTTGTCTCTGTCTCTGTCTCTTCTCTCTCTCTCTCTCTCTCTCTCTCTGTCTCTTCTCTCCTCTCCCCCCCCCCCCTCTTTCTCTCTCTCCTCTCCCCCCCCCCCCCCCTTCCTCTCTCTCTCTCTCTCCTCTCTCTCTCTTCCTCTCTCTCTGCTCTCTCTCTCTCTCTCTCTCTCTTCATCTCTCTCTCTCTTCTCCCCCTCTCTCTCTCTTTTCTTCTCTCTTCTCTCTCTTCTATCCATCTATCTCTCTCTCTCTCTCATCGCCGCTCCCTCAATCTTCACAGGACAACAAAGCGCTCTGCGGAGGTCGTCGAGGAAGCCAGCAAGACGTGCGGCGGCGAGCGCACCGGATGCAACGCCGGCGCCCCCTGCCAATGCGTTTCGACGCACGACTCCGTCGCCATCCGGCGAAAAACAGACGATGCGGCGGCGCCCCCTGTACGACGCTCATCGCGGGGGTCCGTCGTGCCACCCCGACGATACGAGGAGGAGACGGTGGCGACACCTGTCAGGTCGAACAAGAGGATGTCTCTGAGTGCAGAGAGTGCTAGATGAGGTGTTTGAGGAGGATAAGAGTGAGGTGAGAAAAATGTGATGGAGTCACAGAGTCACAGTCATTGTCACATGTTTTATTGTTGGTTGACATTACATTAAAGTAGCAGTAGCAGCAACAGTAGCAGCAGCAGCAGCAGGAGCAGTAGCAGCAGTACCAAGCAGCAGTAGCAGGCAGCAGCAAGCAGTAGTAGCAGGAGCAGGAGCAGTAGCAAGCCACAGCAGCAGCCGCAGCAGCAGCAGTAGCAGCAGCAGTAGTAGCAGTAGCAGCCGCAGCAGCAGCAGCAGCAATAGTAGTAGTAACAGCATAAACATCAGATTTCCAATTGCATATACACGCATCGTAACCATGGCTACGCAGCTCGTAACCATGGCAACACGTTCCACGCAGGCTCATCACCCCCCGTGCGAGAGAACTCCGGACACGAGCGTCGCGGACTGCCCAACATCCCCGCCCGGCTCTGCAGCGCGCTGAGTCGAGACGTCCCGCGGACCAGGTACGCACCCTCCACCAACCCCCACCAACCCCCGCCATGCGTCCTTGCCACGTGAATCCCGAACATACTTCTTTGTTCCTGTTTCTCATGTGCAATAACAGTGCACATGATTGTGGAAACCATTCTGGACTTCGTTTGCTGCACATGAAGGAAGCTTCCAAGATAATAAGTTATAAATTTTAAGACTAATTGAACTGTTTGACTAATTGACTTTGTTTGAAAACGTTTTTGAAATCTTTACGTCGCACGTGCAGGAACAATTTTTGTAGTTCCCATGTTAAACGCGAGCGAACGGTTTGTTAGAGATCACATCCACTGTTAACTTCGATTCCCACGTTGTTCCAGGACGCACAGCAGGAAGTCGACCGTGAGGTTCGAAGACGAAACCTTTGTCCCTAAGAAGGGAAAGGAAGAGGAGGATGATGATGATGATGATGAGGAGGAGGAGGAGGAGGAGGAGGAGGATTACTACGTGAAGAAGCGAACGAAGAGTCGTCGCACGAGTCGAACTCGCGTTAAAACTCCGACGAAAACCTCAAACACAACTCCGCGGGTGAGCTGTCGTGCGGCAGACGCATGCGACCGAAATTTATATATGTTCATGTCTTACATATGTTGTTGTTGATAATTGTTTGTTATTTAATAATTATTATTCTTGATATTGTCATTGTTGATAATTGTTATTATTGATATTTGTTATTCTGATAAACATTATCTTGATAATTGTTACAATTGATATATCAGACAGATTAGAGCACAGATGCTGTCAATTAAACCAAATCTGTTGCCCTCCCTGTTACATTAAGGTAAACATGCAGACTAGCTTAGGTAGTCTACTCAGACCTAAGTCTGTTGCATCCCCTTACAGGGTAAGGTCGCCAGGAGACCATCGATGACTCCGTCTGTACCCGCTCGTGTCTAGATCTGTACCCGCGGCGCGGAATGTACTGGAATTAGCCAGAGCGAGGTAATCAATGCTGAGATAAACAATGCCGAGGTAAACAATGCTGTGATAAACAATGTCGTGGTAAAAGCAATGCTGAGATAAAACAATGCCCGAGATAAAACTAATTTAATGCCGAGGTAAACAATGCCAAGATAAACAATGTCGAGATAAACAATGCCGAGGTAATCAATGCTGAGATAAACAATGTCGAGATAAACAATGCCGAGGTAAACAATGCTGAGATAAACAATGCCGGGGTAAACAATGCTGAGATAAACATTCGTGTAAACAATGCTCGAGATATAACAATGCCGAGATAAACAATTTAATGCCGAGGTAAACAATGCCAAGATAAACAATGTCGAGATAAACAATGCCGAGGTAAACAATGCTGAGATAAACAATGCCGAGGTAAACAATGCTGAGATAAACAATGTCGTGGTAAACAATGCTGAGATAAACAATGCCGAGATAAACAATTTAATGCCGAGGTAAACAATGCCAAGATAAACAATGCCGAAGTAAACAATGCCGAGATAAACAATGCCGAGGTAAACAATGCAGCTACAAAGCTCTACATCCATGCTCCTGTTATATCTTATAAGTTTATAACTGTTATAAGATTGCTATTCCTGCCGCAGTATCGGCGTTGCAAATAACCGTGTTAGCTTCTGCAATAAAATTAACACTGCTAAACGACATCTGAAACCATGTTTTTATCAGCCGTCCTCAACGTCGTTTTCATCTAAAATTACCCGACGCGAAACTCAGACCGCGTGAAATCGTCACGTTCTTCTGTTCATCTTCGCGTTTCCCCGTGCAGGCTTCACGTTTCCGCCGGTCCCGGACACGCTGCGTGCCGCGAGAACGAGTTTGGGAAACATCTACAACTTTGGTCGAGGAAAAGCTGATTGGCGGAGGCGGAGGGTAGGTAGCGACTCGCCTTGCTGAACGAGATTGTCGTCTTTGTCGTGCTGCGGTATATGACGAGTGACAAGCGAGCATTCGTCGACTTCTGTGTCACGGTACCGATCATGCGATGAGGCGGTACTTTCGTATGGCGTATTGACGAGCGACAAGAGAGCGCATTCGGTCGTCTCGTATCACCGATCGTACGATTGTGCAGTACTTTCATGTGGCGTATCGACAAACGACAAGAGAGCGTTCGCTTCGTGTGCGAGACTCGAGAGGATGTGAACTAATCTAAGAGAAGAATTGAGTTATCATTTGAGAGAATCTATTGCTATTATATTTGTATTGTTTTGATGCTCATTGCTGATACTATGTCCTTTGTCGTGTTTACTGGTTCTCCATAACGGTAGTTTGTCATATAAACTCGTGTCTGTGAGGGTAATTGCTGCTAGAATTGCAATGTCGTGTGGCCTGTGTGTGTGTTGTGTTGATGTTTAATTGTTGTTGTTGTTGTTGTTGTTGTTGTTGTTGTTGTTGTTGTTTACCTGTTGTATTATGTGCTTCTCGGGTGTAATTCTCCTACATGTCGTTGTTGTTGTTTACGTTAGGTGTATGTACGTCGCGGGCGTACCAGGCACTGGTAAGACTGCCACGGTGATAAGAGGGCGGTCAGAAGCCTGGAGGAGGCGCGCGACAACAACGACCTTCCCAGTTCTCCTTGCTTACACGTTGTTGATGGTTGTTTTACACTTCATTATTGTTGTTGTTTACACTTGTTGTTTGTTGTTGTTTACATCAGGTGTATGCGTACGTTGCGGGCGTACCAGGCACGGGTAAGACTGCCACGGTGCAGGAAGCGGTGAGAAGCCTGGAGGAAACGCGACAACAACGACTTCCCCAGTTCTCTTCGTAAAATCAACGGAATGAGTAATGACGGAGTCCGCATCAAGCTATGTTCACCTGCTCAAGGTGAGAGAGATGCGGCGGTTGCCATGACGACCGCGGTGGTTACCGTGGTGATGACGGGAATGGGTAACCCTGATGACAAACATGGCGGTTAAGCAACGACGACGACGATGCTTACTGTTAGTGATGAACGATGGTACCGCGGTGATAACAAGCAATGGTGGTTACGTGGCGATGCCACGTCCTCGTTGGCAAAGTATGTCGTAGACTCTGATTGGCCGTGTAGAGAACGCGCTTGTGTTTTGCTTCCGCAGGCACTGACTGGACAGAAGGCGACTGCCGACACGCGGCGGCCATCTTGGACAAGCGCTTTTCGGCGGCTAACCAAACGTTCCGTTGTCGTTCTGGTGGACGAGGTAAGCAAGTTCACTTGTCGCATCCACGTCAGATTTTTGAGGCGAATTTGTCGATCATGTTTGTTTAGGCATCAAACGATACGTTCGGATATATTTCACAAACCGCTGGCGAGGACGAAATGAATGAAGGGAGAATTCAAGCCCGTCATTTTAAACAACAGTTGCCGCGGTAACGAGCCCTCGCGTGCCACGGCGCATGACAGACGACGTTTGCCATGGCAACGACACCGCGCTATAACAAACTCCGGCGCGTTGCCGCGGTAACGTCGAGCGATTTTTCTCCTCAGGCTGGACCTTCTGTGGACGCGTAAGCAGGACGTGATGTACAACCTGTTTGATTGGCCCAGCCGCACGCGCGCACCCTCATCGTCGTCGCCGTCGCCAACACGATGGACCTGCCCGAACGCATCATGATGAACCGCGTGTCAGCCGCCTGGTGAGGCGTGCCTAGGGGCGCTAGCGAGGCAGCGGGTGCTAGCGGGAGGCCTAGGCGGGGCAGGGGGC